CATCATCTCCTAGACAACAAGCCCAAAGTCATCAACTACTTACAGCCAAGTAGAAGACGACTTATTGGAGTATCCTTTACAGGACGTTGCAGAACCAACCCCAGCAGCCCCTGGCTGTTGTGCGGTTGGTCTAGGCAAATTTACGTCCAGTTTGCCATTGCCTCTGGACGGTTGGCTTTCTTGATACCACTGTCGAAACCAATGCAAGGCCCATGGCTTGCAGCTGTGATCGAACCCTGCATCCGGGCATTTCGAAGCGTTCGCGTCGACTTAGCCACAGAGCCGACCCGGTTTAATGACCTCTCAATTAATTTATCTCCTCTACTTGTCTATTCGTCGGCGTTTGTGTCTTAGGTATTGCGAACGCGCATCGTGATGCCGGGATGCCGGGTTCGATCCCAGCTGCGGGCCTTGCGCCTTGCGTTGATTTCGACAGTGGTATCGAGAAGCCTACCGTGCAGGGGGCAATGACAAATTACTGGACGTAAATTTGCCTAGAAAAACCACAACAGCCAGAAAGTGCTGGGGTTGTTTCCTATAAAGGATACGCAACTACTACTTCGCATCCGGTTTGTGGTTCTCCGGTATAACTGTACTACGTGGCTATACGGTTGAACGAAGTTTGAGGGATTTGTGTCGGTTTGGTTCATATTCTCGAGATCCCCCCCCCCCCTTTCCCCTCCTCAGACTGCAACAACAGGTTGTACAAAATACTAGGTAAGAATGTACTCTTAGCTTCTTCTCTGCTTTCAGTTCCTCATCCAGGTTTTGTAAGTAAAGTAAAGGGCCCTTTTCCACGCCTTCCATCGACCTGAAAGGCAAGGTCAAGGCAAGTATCCATCCACGGCACATTCGAATCCAAAAGCTTTGGGCAGAGAGGCGAGCTTCATTCCACTATACAAACAGGGTTACCATCCAATCCACATCATTGAGATAAATATTTGTAAATATTTAACTGCAAGGTCGACAATATTTAAGGTGAGCTCTAAGAAAAATTATGTGAAATAAAGGCGGCCGCTTAGCTATAGACAACGCAGTGAACTGGCTGACCCGAAAAATACTTTTAGCACAATATGCCCGACGGAAGTCACGACATATTTTGTTTTATGAACCCGCATCTTCCGGGTAGTTTTAAACTCTACCTCGGCTTCCAGATCGACCCAGACTTTACTGAGTATCTAAAATGTTTTTGGTAGTAAAGGAGATTTGCGTAATGTTAATTAGATCACTTATTCAGTGTCGAATCGTCAATACAAGTTGGGTCTCCTATGATTTTTCGGTTGCTCGATCGCCGTTAAAACGTTGAAAGGACATTAAATTTTTTACCCTCCTAGTTTGAATAAGCTTTGAGTGGGTACCAGCAACAGACCTGGAAAGTAATGGCGGCTGGCGTAATGCTGATCACATCAACCACGAAGTGCCGATTGGTCTATACAAAATATAGGCCTCACCCTATTTGCTCGGTACGCCAGAAGGCGGGGGAAAAGGGTTACTAAATCATCGCCCTTAAAGAGATCTTCACTTTTTTACCCTTCAAGTTTTAATTGGAACTAAATGGATACCTGATAAAGTCCTAGGACCTAACGGCGGCTTATGACGCTGAGCACATTACCTTATGAATATCGATTGTTCTATTCAATTTATGTCTAGTCTTATATGACAAATACTGATAGCTTGGAAAAGAATTCTTTAAAATTACTTAATTTTCTTAATGCCAGATGAAAAGATTATATGGCTATCCTCCAAATAACAGGCACAAAAGATGGCGGCCGCAAAAGCACCCTAACAGAGCCTCAGTCACGTGTCAATTGCGCACTTCCGGCGACTTAATTTGCGGTTTTCCGGCGACTCACGAGCAGCAGCTTCCGCAACTCCTGCATCTTTGCTTGTCAGTCCTAGCCATCTATTTTAGTCACAATCCACGCCGTGTGAGCGGCTCTTTGGATACCCCCGGCGGTGGCGGTAGTCGCCGGGAAACCGCAAATTAGGTCGCCGGAAGTGCGCAATTGGCACGTGACTGAGGCCCTGTTTTTGGCCGCCATCTTTTGTGCCCGTTGTTAGGAGGATAGCCGATTATATATTTATAAAATTTGTTATGGTATTACGAGTTTCGCTTGGCGCTGTTGTGTGTTTTGTAAACACCGACTGGCTATCGGACGGTCGTGGTTCAGCAAGCACACACGACTCCCACGTGAAACATTTATTGCTTATTGTTCGGTAAGGTTGTTTTACCAGATGTATTGTTTATGTGTCATTATTATCAAATACCATAAATGTGGGGTATGGTTGCTTGTCTCTCATCTTATTACCCCCACACATTTTACATGAGACTTGTAGCCATACGTTCTGTCGACTATCACGATAATGGACTTAAGGTTAGTTGCGTATCCTTTACAGGACGTTGCAGAACCAACCACAGCAGCCCCTGGCTCTTCTGTGGTTTTTCTAGGCAAATTTACGTCCAATAGTTTGCCATTGCTTTCTGGATGGTCGGCTTTCTTGATACCACTGTCGAAACCAACGCAAGGCGCATGGCCCGCAGCTGGGATCGAATTGGGCATCCTTGCATTACGAAGCGTTCGCATCGACTTAGTCACAGAGCCGACGATAATGGACATAGAACAGCTAAAAATACCCTAGTATGAAATTCAATTTGTAAAAGCAACCGCTATTTATTACTATTATTTTACTCGTCTTCAGATCTGTGTGACAGGAACCAACAGTCTGCATACAGAAAGTCAGATATGTAAACCTGATATTTGTGCACCGCTCAAGTCCTGTTACAAGACGAGAGGCCAGCGATGGACTAACATTTATGACTTCCTAGAAACATTCACAGCAGGTGAACGCGACAAAGCAGAAGGCGTTGAGCTGATGTACTATCTTAAGCCTGAGGATGTTGGCAGGCTTGTGTAGGCGCAAAGACCTGTACAAATTAGGAATGTTTATTGCCACTAAAAGAGGATAAGCGGCGTCCGTGGCTAAGGCAGCATACCGCGATCGAAACCCACTGCAGGCTGCGTGGATTTTTGTCCTGGTATGGGACGTCGCAGGACGACCCAGCCTCAAATGGGTACCAAGATGGGCTGTCCTAGGAAAGTAAAGACAGCCGGCGTAATGCTGACCACATTACCCACAGAGTGCTAATGGTCTGTAAAAATATGGGACGCTCTGCCCATATGCCCGATGCGCCGAAAGGCGTGAAAAGGGATCTTTACTTTACTTTACTTACTCTAATAGACATGGTACCAGGAAGAAGGGGCAGGGGCCGACCGACACGAAGATGGGCACAGGATAGAAGTGACTCCTTATGTGTGAAAGTGTATGAGGCGGGAGAACTGGCAAGAAACCGAGTCTCTTTCAGGTAGACTGTGATGAGAGCGACGTTTTGCAAAGGACATGCTACACGATGATGATGATGACTCTAATAGACACATGGTGGTGAGTCCCGACATCTTTTTTTTACTTTAGAAAGAAAAGACTGTATAAAGCTTATTGCGTTTATGATTCCATGCAGGGTCCTTAACTCCATGGAGCACTTCTTACTAACTTGTAACCACCACGAAATAGAAAGACAAGAGCTCATACTGCACCTCAGAGCCACAAAGCAACCAATTACAATTGAAAACTGCCTCAGTGTAAGCTGCGACAAAAAGGTACAGCGACTTATGAAGCAGTTCATATCCAGAACTGGGAAAGCGATCCGAGAGCCACCTCTCAACCTGATGTGACCTGACCAGATCCAGCGTGTACCAGCACCCTCAACAGAGCCAGCTATCCCTCCCTCTCACTCTTCCGACTTCACTGTATGTCCTCTAAAAGGTATTCCTGCGATTCTACCTATGCTATTTCCACTCCTTCTCTACCACAGGCGAATAACACAGACTAAACCATCACAACTAACATAAATCTCCTTTAGTGTATTTTCAGAAAGATAAAGACGACGGAACCCACCAAAGGCCACCCGACGCTCCGAGGCAAACCAGCTAAAGGGCATAGCACAAGAAGGGGACCAGCACTCGTGGATTCCAGTCTATTATGCCTTTCTTCTTACATCCCCCGCCACTCCCCACATATGTCTAAAATGTAAAATCAGTTTATTTTCAGATAAATTCCTGCCTCTACACGAGCTATCAACCCAAGAGCAAAACGCACGAAGGGCAAGCATTGTGTAGAGCCTCATCCCACCAGAAGCTCAAAGCACCAGGGACCTCACTCTCAACCAAGCAAGCTATCTGTCTCTCTCCATCTTCCGACATACCTGTAAAATCTCTTGGCACCTTCGGGCGTTCTAAATTTTGTTGTTGTTGCATATCTGTGTTACCTCCTCCACACACACACACACACACACACGCACGCACGCACGCACACATACGCACACACGCACACGCACGCACACATACGCACACACGCACACGCATGCACGCCGCACGCACGCACACACACACACACGCACGCGCGCACACACACGCGCACGCGCACACACACACACACGCACACACGCGCACACGCGCACACACACAAAGACACACACACACACACACACACACACACAAATCGGCTGCGCACAACAAGTAGATTGTGACAGTCGTCCTGATAGGGGCCTTGTGTGGGACGCCCAATCTGCGGAACTGTTTGCTTCGCCGTGGTGTGACTGAGGACTGACTTGGTACTCGCACAGACGGTCAGTGCAACGGCCAGCGGATAGCCAGCTAAAGACAGGAACCAGGACCCCTTAAAACCCGTTTGGAACTTAGGCAGCAAAAGAACAATCTCAGGTGTAATTGCTCACAACAAAGGAACAGAAACTAAATAAGATAGCAAAGGAACCGTCCTTCAGGCGGCCAAAAAAGGACTAAGCTTTTGTAATTTATGTTTTATTTTTACGATACGATACAATACGATTCCATTACTTTAATACATATGTTAACCATTTATTTGTAAACCATCATGACACTTGCAGAAATGTCAAAAACATGCAGTGTGTTAGCTTTGGCATTTTAATTATTTACTGGATAAATTCTTTCACTGGAAATTGCAATTGTGATTTTTGAGCAGCATAATTTGATCACCGACCTGAAATCTGTGTCCTGTAGAACGTACACAAAGAAGTTGGCCCAGGTGTGAAACACGGCTAGTATTTTGAGAGCGTCAAACGTTGAATTACTATAATTAAAAGACGGATTTCCGATGCTTACAAAAAAGTAAATATTAAAGATGACAATAGGCGTCACAAACAAAAAGAATGTTCCGAATATAGTAACGGGCATGCGAACGATGTTCCAGGTCATTCGATTATATATGGTTTCACCTCTGTTGTTGTTGGCTGCCAGTCGCGATTTATGAATAGCTACACTTTGACGTCGAATGATAAATCCGATGTGCACATAAATGGTCAGCATTAAACCACCTACAACAAAGTGGAAGGCGGCATCTACTGTAGCGTAGCCAATCATAAACTCTGTAGGACTGGATCTGCAGTCTGTGACTATGTGCACGCCTGATAACATCGATATGAACCATACGCATATCAAACAGCAGATAATTAATTTAGAAGTTATCACTCTTTGATGTACGAACGGCCAGGCGATGTAAAACCAGCGTTCAGCGGAAATAACCAAATGACAAAGTCGGCTGCAGATCATGGTGCAAGACACTACATATAAACTAGAGCAAAGAAAGGCTGGGGAACAAGGCAATTGTAGATTTGTGTTTACAGTATATAGATTTCCTGCTGATAACGTACCATAGGCTGGGGCAAATAGAAGGTCACTGACAGCTAGTGAAGCAACAAATACATTTGAGAATGTGTGCAGACGCGGACTGCAACAAATACTGACGAAAATAATAGCGTTGAGGATGAATGAAATACTCAGTATAGCAGTCTCAATAACTGATATAGACACATTTCCAGGTCTGAAAGTATTTGAAAAGGTGTCCGAACAGTTATCCATTGCGCTTTATAGAAATAGTAATTAGTGAATAATTAGCAATTATTAGCAAACCACAAATAGCTCGAGTTTACAGTCAATGTGGCTATATTTAGTAATTGAACATAGCTTTAGATGTTGTTTCTACTCCTTCCTCGTTCATTGTAAGTCCTTCACCAAAACGCATCTAATACAAGAAGTTGCTAGTTCTAGCTACATACCATGGCGTCGTACAGTATTATGTGTGATTACGTTAGGTGGTGTCCTTTGTGAGCGCTATACCAAAGTTACCTACACTAATTTTTGTGTGTGTGAATATGGACTAAGAGGATTTTCATTGCTGTTATCTGTCGCTTTACAATGTACCAAAGACACACATATCTGTTCATTTTTACAGACAGGTCAAAGCAAAGTATTAGTTTACATACAACTATAGTTTTTTTTTTCTTCCCCAGAGCTCTCATTGTTGAAACATTGATTTCCTCCGAACACTGATTTGGCGCTTAAGTACTTCGGCGTAGTATACTTGTTTTAAGTTTGGCAGGACTATAAAAAGGTGCCAGACTACTATTGGGCTATTGCAACAAAGACAAGGATCCGATAAGCATTTCTTGAATTTATGATGTCGCTGACGATGTCGATGGCAGTTTAGGAATGATAACAAAGACTTATAAAAACTTTAGACACCATATAAACATCTGGTCTGTTTTCCTGTAAAAAGGTTTTTAAAAATAAATTTTTGTATGTACTGTTTCACAAAATAAAGTTGCTCAAATCGTAAATATAGGTCTACTTGTCAATAACTGGATAGGTAATCACTTTACTTGTCAGTCCGGTGGTCGTGCATTCGAATCCGTATCAAGATAGATATTATATAAAATTTACACTGACCCTTGCAACAGGGTCGACACAGTTTAAAAAAATTATATGTGACATAAAGGCGGCTGGTGTGTTATGGGCGACATATTCCATTAAGTGTCTATTTGTCTATAACAAATATGCAGTTACATATCTTTATTTCCGTTCTGCTTTCCCCTCCAGGCTGCTCCCTGAAGGTCTGACACCCTAAGATTACACAATCTTACTTTGAATGGTAAACCACGGCCAGCTCCAGATTTATATATATTTACTGGAGCTGGCCGTGGGTAAACCAACAGGGCACATCTTAGATAGCCCCGTTTCAATTCTACAAAAGTTACAAGCACGGCACCGTAACGACCACACCAGTCAGATGTCACCTGCAATCCTTTGAGGCCAAGATTTGCGGTAATGACAACTATATATCTAATTCCCTTCAAGGAGTTTTTAAGTTTGTCTACATTTAAATGCGGTTGACAATAATTGGATAGTTAATCCTGAAAAAATAATAACCATTAAAACCGTATAGAGGCGGTGAGATCATGAATTAATCACATTTACTAAAATAGTTAATTGCAGTGAGTCGGTAACAATGACTTGAGCACATCTGTCAAAACCGTTACATGCTTTGAAGTATTAAATCCGGAATTATCCCTGGCTATAGATACAATTCACAGTTACCGACTAGTAAATTCTCATATGGAGTTTTTCAGCATCTGTGGAAATATTCCAGCGACAAGCTTCTTCGTGTTTTCTTTTATTTTTAAACAGCTTCATAAACAAGAAAAATGTAGGGAATTAATTGTGTAAAGTAAATCCACGACAGGCGTGGCAATTTTAGTTTCAAGCGGTGAAATAACAAAATGTGTTGACATCGAAGCACCAGCATTAAATCTGTTAAATGTCTCTTGTGTATCACAAGAGCTGGACAAACAAGCGCGCTAAATGTTTTTGTCCACAGTCTGTCCTCTTCCATGTTTTATTTAATTATTACTGATCTCACGCAGGGTCTAAAACAATGATTCCCAAATCTTTTCTTCCACCACCCCTTTTCAATTCAAAAAACAAATCGGTTGGCGACCCCCTTCTTCCACCCCTCACCCTAGAAATATCATCATCAGCAGCATGTGCCATGCCGTTAAACAAAGGTGATTACTATACAACAATCGACAAGATCAGAAGAATCACGGATCAGGTCAGTGCTCCCTCCTCCGATGCATGATCCATCACAGGGTGTCTCCATGCTCCACGTATCCAATAGCAGTTGAGTGGCATATCTTCCTTCTTTGTCTGGTTTCTCCATGCTTGTTCTCACTGAAATATTTTTTTTTAAAACTGTCAGTTCATGGTATTTAAATTTCAATTACTTTCAGTTCACTGCATTTTTCTGTTGAGCAGTGTATGTTTACATTTTAAGATTTACAATGTCATTAGCTGCTATCGTAATAATTGTAGATGGTCTTATCTTTGAATTTTATTATGATTTAATAAAACTATTGTGGTAATGTATTTTTTAAGTATAACCCTTCGTTTATCTCCTTGTTTTCTGCAGTTGCAAGTAGTATGTCAACGAGGAATCAGATCGCATTTGCCCCAGCCTGCGGCTGCGGCAGATCGATACGTATTGATAATGGGTTTGAAAAAGGGCGACAGCTTTCTTCTAAAGGTGAGATACATTTTGTCTTTAAAAAAAAAAAAAAAAAAAAAAAAAGAAGGTTGAGACAACTTGTGTATGACTGACTGACTCTCTACCCCACCAGGACATCACACAAGCGATAAACATCCGATGACACAAAGTGCCACCGTGTGGGTGAGGATCACCGTGGAGAGGTCCCAGAAACCGCGTTCAGACAGTTGGCCGTACTTATGGCCTGCCTATATTGCGTTCAAATTACACAAAATTACGTCCTAAAAAGGACGTACGGATAAGAATGAACTGGTGTATATTTTGTGAACGGGAAAAACAACTCCTGTATATCTTTAAAAAAAAAGGGGGAAACAAATTTTGTATATTTGGTATACAAAAGGGAAGATAAACTGGAGCATGGTGTACTCGGGGTGAGACAGAGTGGCACCTAGGCTCTTTTTATTTTATTAGCGTCCCGTGTTTATTAGGTGGGGGAGGGGATATTGGTACGACAGGGTTTTTCGACCGATCGTGGGCAAGCGTCTCTATAATCACCTCAGTTATCATCATCAAGTTACTCTTGTCACATGTGGACCACCCAGGGAGCTCCCCTTGTCAAGCTTAGAATAATAAAGGAAGAAAAGCAAATCTTACTGCTGCTGGATGGTCGGGTGTGTGTGTGTTTGTGTGTGAGCACCTGTTGTTAGCTCTTCTGTATGGCGGTTGTCACCTATGCCTTCTTATTCTTCTTTTTTTTTTTTTTTTTGGGATGGTCCCCGACTGAGCTTGTTTCCTCTGCTGTAGTGAAATAAGCTAATTCATAGTTGCAGAGTGAGCATTTTATTATTTCAGATGAATTTTTGTTGACTTGTTATTTTCCTAACGACTGTAACTTGTTTTGTTTTAAGGACACACATGCATTATTAGCTTATATTTCTGTTTTTTTTTTTTTTTTTCGATAATAAACTTTTAAAATGCATTTTATGTAAGACTTTTGCACAAAAGAACAAAACATTAACAGCTCATTTTGATCTTCAAGAAAATAATTATACACATTGTTACATGCAGTATTCAGGAATATCTGTAATGTATTTTTAAACTGTCGCCTTAAAACTTACAATAACAGTATGCTGATTTCATTCAACAAGATTAAATTGGACAGTTTTGTTTTTGCTGTTTAGCCATTAGGATAAATATTTAGTAGTGCTATAGTATTGTGATAAAAATTGGCCTGGATGAAAACTGTGTGCACATGTCACTTTTATTTTTGACTTTGCATTAAAAAAAAAAACATGGTAATAATTTACTAACTTTTAAAACATGTCACTTGCGTATTTTCTAACTATTAAGTGACAGTATAATTAAATGTTGTAGTAGTCTACTAAAAGTAATATTAATAATATAATCAAATAATATTGTCAGTTATATTCATTTTATGTATAACATGTGTATGCTGCACGGCAGTTGCAGTTGGATGATCTGTTCTAATGTGCTGAATTGACTAAAGCTAAATAAAATCACCCCCACCCTCTCCCCTTTTTCTTCAGTCCTCTGATGCAATACTTAGTCTGAATCAAAATGATAATAATAATTGTCTTTACTTTTGCTTGAATAACCTTAATTTATTGCTATACGTTATTCACATGCGTGTTCATGCCGACTGTTGTAAATGTCATTCATGATTGTTTTCATTTAAAATTATTGTTATTTTTTTTATAGCACGCTTATTTATCTTCAAAATAAGTTGCAAATGAATCAGTAGTTTTATTTTCGTGTAAATCAATCACCCCCCCCCCCCCCCCCCCCCCCCCCCCCCAAAAAAAAAACCAGAAAATAAACGTGAACACAGGCCGGCCTCTCGGACTTCCAAATAAACGTGAATATCCGTTCAGCTGGTCGGCCTTTACAGCTGGAGCCTCGCCGTGGTTGCCGTTAGGCTGGAGGTTACCATAAGGCTGTTATGTGAGATGGGACAGATTAATTATCTAATAAAAGTGCAGCCTGTCTGGCAGAATGGGCTAACGTGGATAAACAATTCGTCAAAAAAATTACACATTATAACTTAGAATGCGGGCATTAATACACCATTCAACCATAGTATTTAGGGGATGTTTGCCTTTGTAGAGATTAAAATGAAATTTTTTTATTATTATCATTATGTTCTTCAACATTTCCGCAGGTCGTAGGTTTTTCCCCCGAAGAATGTTCTTGGCTTCCAGGTCGACCCAGCCTTAAATGGTTACTCGGTAAAGTCATTGGAAGTAAAGGCGGCTGACATGATGTTCGCCACATCACCCACCAAGTGCCCAAATAGTTTATAAAATGTAGGTCTTGTCCTATGTGCGCAATAACCTGAAGTTTCCTTACCTTTTTTTTTTGTTTGTTGCTTATCGTCAACATCTCATTCTCACCATCGTTAGTTTGCGTTGCATAGAGCAGCCAATTCCTCCATCCCTCACGTGGACTTGGACTTCTAGTAATTCCCGATGAACTTTGGGTAGTGAGATCAGACGCCTTTGTGCATTTTTGCGCACGTAAA